GCCAACGGAGTGGTGCAGTCTGCTTTGTATGCGTGCCGCCGCCAGGTTGACAATTGGTGGCCCGATGCGCTCTACGCGAAGTACTCCGAGATGAATGACGGTGACAAGAGGCAGTGCCTGGCGGCGTACCCGCGGAACCCTGCGTCGGGCGGATTCCCCCAGGAGGTTTTTTTAAGACGACGACGGCGGCCCGCCAGAGAAGGTTCGGCGAGCCCGCGAGACCGGCAGCGCGGCTGCTGGCGCAGATGCCCTCTCCGCAACGCTTGCCGCGCCTATGAAGGCTACGCCGACGAAGGCCGCGCCAGCGAAGGCTCCGCCCATGCAGACTTGCACTCCGCAGCGGTCCCCGGCCGTGCTGCTGGCAACTTCTGTTTGTTCCACTGGCGTCCCGCGCATTCGGCATTCTCCTGGGCCCGCGGGGGCGAGCGAGCGCTGGTGCCGAGGACCATGGTCGCGGAGCCTGCGACAGTCGGTCGCGGTGATTTGTTTGTGCGTCCAGGCGGATGAGAGAGCTGTCGGATTGTGCAAGCCGTTTGGTGAGAAACGAGCAGATGATCGACGGCGCCGACCGTCCTAAAGGGTTTCCGATGCCGATTTGTGACGAGTTCTCAACAAGTGCTCCAGCGGCCACCCGAGCAACGAGACGGATGTGCTTACTCTTCGCCTGTTCGCTTTGCGGTCTGACATGCTCGGCGGGGCCGGCGCCGAGTTCCACGGGGAGGTGAGCGACGTCGCCCCTTGGCGATGGGCACTTCGAGCCGCCGCGGAGCATCGTGGCATCGATTCTTCGCGAGGCATGGAAGCCGTCTCGCACCGCGCGCGCCGGGCGGCCCTGGCAGATCGGCTGGGCGCGGTGAAATTTTTCCTCTCGGCTGACCAGGAGGGCCTGCGCCCGGGCCCTGTTAGGACCAAGCGCATCGCGCAGGTCCTCGCTGCTGGGGCGGACTTCAGAGCCATGGCTCTCGCCCATGCGGACGCGTTCTCGTTCGCAAAAGAGAAAGAAAGAGAGAAAGAGAGAGAGAGAGAGAGAGAGAGAGAGAGAGAGAGAGAGAGAGAGAGAGAGAGATCAATTTCTTTGCCCGCGTCGCAGACGACGCCTCAAACCTCTACCCGCCCGTCGGTGCGCATGCCCGGCGTCGGGGATGCGTGCTACCTTGACGCCGCGGTGCAGGCCCTGATCCACTGCGAGCCATGGAGGCCTCGGGATGTTTCCATTTCGACAAGCGCGTCGTTCCGCATAGTTGCTCTGGCGCTGCGAGTCCCACGAGACATCTAGTCGAGGCCCCTTCCAGGCTCGGGTCGGCACCGCCTGCGCGACCGTAGTGAGGGGCCCGAGACGCGACGAGGAGAAGTTTGCGACCGGATTCGGAGTGGCTTGGTATATGGGCACGCTATGCCGACGGATATCTCGCCGGAGCATGATCGACGCTCGCGCCATGGGCGCACCGCTGGTTTTCCTGCAGTCGAAGGACGAGGGCGTCTTCTGCAGCGCGCTGCAGGAAACTAATGATGCTTCCGAACGGCTTCTGAACGTGCCGAACTCTGGCGATGCGGGGAACGCGCGCGGAGTTCTCCCCGCGCGCGCGGGCGCGGAGGTGGGATTTGCCGTCGAGGTGTCCAGGCGCAAGAGCTTGCTTGATCCAGGAGCAGTAGGCCGCGATCGCGAGCTTCGTGTTCGAAAGCAACCACCAGGACGGGTACGACGCGCGCGCTCAGGGAGAGATCTTCCGCCTGCGCTGTCTGCCCGCCGAAATCTTGATGCAGGTGCGCAGGTTCGAGAAACGGGGCCCGGACGTGGTGGTCGCCTTCGTCAGTTCCTTCGGAATTCAGACAGAGAAGGCGAACGGCAAGTTCTGCTTCCCATGAATGGAGGCGCACCTCAAATGGCAAAGCGCCAACCCTGTGCACTGGGTGAAGAGGTTTGGGCGCGCGCTCGCGCGCGGGTGCTTCCCGGCGTCCGCCGCGTCGCGGGGCCAGACGATCCGCGCCGCGTCCGGGCCAGACGACTGCGCGCAGGGCGCCAGCATTGGCAGACTGGAGGGCAGGGCGGAGAACTGGTGGCTGCGCCTGTGCGCGATGCATAGCAGAGTCGCATGCGTGGGCGATGCGCTCGTGCTTCGGCCGCCGCCAGCGGAGGGCCCGCAGAGAGGCCCGCCTCCATCCGTTCTGAAAGCGCTCCAGAAGTTCGATGAGCGCATGGCCGCGGAGACGCGGGAGATCGAGGCCCTCGCCCTGGGGCGCCAATGGATCTTGCCAGCGGCGTGAGGTCGTCGGTGCGCACTGGCGCTGGAGTCCTTCCGACAAAGGCAGCGCTGTCCAGCCGCGTCGACTTCGCGCGGCCCGCGCCGCTCCTTGGCGATATCGGAGTGGCCGCCCAGCTTTTGTCCTCATGGCGAACGCAGCCCAGAGATTTTCCATCGAAGGGCACGCGCAGATTGCACGCGTGCGGATTATGTTTTTCTTGATTTTTTTCTGCGCGCGCAGCTCAAATACTCTCCGCCGAAGGGGCGCGGGGGCAGACGTGGAGATTGCATGAGAATAAGTTCAGAAAAAGTAGGCCGGCCAAAGTGAGCAAGCGAGGCAGGGGCGCGGGAGCAAGCAGCATGAGGGGATGGAGAAAGGATCTCTCTAGATGCTCCCAAGAGCGTTTGCGCGAGGTGTTTGGTATGCGCCGGCTTCCACAGTGGGCCCCCTGACTAACCGCGATGTGGCAGATCGTCTTCCATCGCCTCATTGCTTGCTGCCGCCCCAGGAAACGGCCCGCGGTGGTCGCCTCGAACTTTTCCCCGATGGAGGATGGAAGGCGGGGAAAGGGGGAGAAGGTTCAAACCGTGGTGTGATGGGTGGCACAATAAGGAAACATTCGCGACGAGGGTTCAAAACACAGGATTGCGCATATATGGCAATTATAAGTAAACGCGTAGTAGTTAACATCAGTATGTGGGGTTTTTCGGTGGGCTACTTCAGATGCAAGTGCTTTCCTGGGGCTCGTGCCCGTTTCTTGTTTCTTAGTTCAAAGAAGAGGGAAGCGAGGTGTGGGCAAACTGTGCCCCCGGCCCCCTGTTTGCAGCAACGGCGGCTCCCGCCTGATCAGAATGAGGGGGCCGAGCGGTCATTCACTGTACCTGGGTGAGTGTCTTCTCCCTCCCCCTTCCGCCCATCTTTTCTTTCCTTGTTTTAAGGGCTGCACTAATGCGCGTGGCAGGTAAGGAAGATATACCCCGAAGGAGGTGCGATCGAAGACGACGAGGGCGGGTACCGAGGGTTTGGGATATACGTTTTGATTGGCACGTGAGCAGATAGGAACGAACAGTCTTACGATGTTCAGCTTTTCGTTGATTGTTGTTTGTGGTTGTTATTGTTGGTTGTCGTGGTTGTTGTTGTTGGTGTTGTCCAGCTTCTTGTTATTGCTGTTGCTGTTGTTGCTGTTGTCGTTGTCGTTGTCGTCGTCGTTGTTGTTGTGATTGTTCTTGTTGTGGTTGTTGTTGTGGTTGTTGTTGTGTTTGTTGTTGTGGTTGCTGTTGTGGTTGCTGTTGTTGCTGTTGCTGCTGCTATTGTTGTTGTTGTTGTTGTTGTTGTTGTTGTTGTTGTTGTCGTCGTCTCGGTTGTTGTTGTTGCTGTTGTTGTTGCTGTTGTTGTTGATGCTGCTGTTGTTGCTGTTGCTGTTGCTGTTGCTGCTGCTGTTGTTGTTGTTGTTGTTGTCGTCGTCGTCGTCGTCGTCGTCGTCGTCGTCGTGTTTTTTGGGGGGGTGTTGTTGTTTCAGGGTGCCGACCCCTTTCGCGCTGGAGACCGCGAGCGGCGCCATGCTTCCGAAGGGCGACCCAGCGAGGTGAAGTGCACTCGGGCCACCAAGCGCGCAGAGTCAGACGACCGCACCTACCCGCCGCAGGGAGGGCGGGCGCGGCCTCGCTCCCGGCCGTGGAGGGGGCGGCGCGATGGCCTGGCCGCGGCGGCCCCGACGGGCGGCGGCTTGGGGCCACGATGCCGCACTTGCCGCTGTTGCCGCGCGTCGAGGCGGCGCCGGTCGGAGGCGACGGTCCAGCGGCGGGGGCCGCTGCCTTCAACTCCCAGACGGGGGGTGCTGCGTGGAGGTGCGGATTTGGCGTCCGGTGCGGGAGCGCCCGACGCCGAGGTGTGGGCCAGGCCGTCGCGGCTGGTCAGGCGGCGGCTGCGGCGCCCGCGGCTGCGGCGCCCGCGGCGTCTGGGGCGGAGGCGGCTCCTGGCGCCCCGTTTCGGAGGAGGCGGAGGGGCCCAGGGCCAAACGGCCGAGGCCCCATCGCTGGGGTGCTGCCGTTGGCTCTTTGCGGGTTCTTGCCAGGAGGTTGGGCGGGCCCACAGGCCCGACGCCGCGGGAGTCGGTCGCGCCCCAGGGCAACTCTGTGGGGACGGGGGGGGGGTCCAGCCGGCTGCCGCGGATAGGGGGGAGGCCCTCGAGATGCTTGCACAGCGCGGATTCCTCGAGGATGTCATTCCCGCGCGGACCGAGGAGGAGGGCCTGAATCTCGTCGGAACCCGCCAAGAGGAGCAGGCCAGGGGCAAGCGGAGTTGAGGAGCAGTGGCGCTGAGTGGCCTGGGGGCTCAAGTGGCAGGGGGTCCGCGGCGATTGCTTCGTGGCCTCAAGGGCGAGTCAGACGGTGCCCGCGGTCGACGTGGCCGCAGCGACAGGGCGGGGCTACTCTCGGGGCGGGCTGCGTGAAGACGCTTCTCGGCCGACCAGGCAGAAATCGCAATGCGCCGCTCGTAGTTATTGTTGTCGCGTTGCTCGCTCGCCTTGCCTTTGTCCAGAGCTTGCACCCAAACGCATGGTTGCTGCTGCACGAACTGCTATCTTTGAGCGGCATCCAGATACAGTGTTTTAGGATGGTTGGACTTGATTCGGTTTCCCGAGGGCATTAATCCAAACTTCTGCTGATCCTTGTCTGCCTTATTCTCGTGTTCACCCTCCCGGTACTTCGCCTCGTCCTCTGTTTTCTTTTCGCCCTCCTCCTCCATCTCCGCTCTGGCTCAAGACTTCGTGCTCCAAGCTGGGCTGGGTTTGCTGGGAATTCCAGCGCACAATACCTCTTGCATTGGAAGACGCCCGCCTTCTCCGCGCCCCGAACTGGCGCCATGACCCGCGGGGCGCAGCTGGACCTGCTGCCAGGGTGCGTCGGCGTCGGGGCCTGCCCCAAAGCGGAAGACTGGCCCTGCATGCCGGCCGCCCCGATCTGCTGCCCCTACGACGCCTCCGACGTGCCCTCCTACTCGTCCGCCGGCGACGGCGACGACGCGGCGCCCGCCCCGCTTGCCGCTGGCCCGGCGCGCCCCGGCGAGGAGCTCCAGGGCGACGGGCCCCGCCCGGAGGGAGAAGCCTCGCCCCCGGCGCCGACCGCCCCGGGCTGCGGCGAGTTGCGCACGTCTCCCGGCCTGCTCGCCGACGAGGACGAGGGCGGCTCGGGCCCTCCGTGCCACAGCGTTCCGCTCCCGGCGCCGCGCCAGTGGCGGCTCCACGATCCAGGAGCGCCCCCCGGCCTGGAGCCCCGTGACGAGGTGCCCTCGCCAGATGACCCCAAGAAGGATCGGGCGGTGGACAGACCTCCTGCCCCGACACTTTGATCAGCGAGTGGGCCGTTTTCTCGGCTCGCGAGAGGGCGTCGCGGCCGTCCCTTCTGTGGGCCCAGGTCCGTCTGTCTCGGTCCCAGGCCGTTTTTGCACTGAAGGGTGGTTTACGAAAGGGAGGTTTGCCCACCGCCGGATAAGGACAGCGTCCAGGCTGGGCGCACGCCCCTCAGCTCGAAGGCCTGGGCCTACGTCCCGGCGGCCAGCCCCGAGAAGGCGGCCGCGAGGTGGAGGGGAGGCCGGCAGGCTCCGAGGAGCCGGTCCGTGCAGGGGCGCACGACGGTGATGATGCGCAACCTGCCCTACTGCTACTCGCGCCAGATGCTGATCGACCTGCTGGACTCCAAGGGCTTCTGGGGCGAGTATGCAGCGGCCTGTGGCAGGCTCCGCCACCGGGTCAGCTCGGCCCCCTGCGTGGCGCTGCCTCGAGCACCGCCCAGAGCAGGCCGTGGCACGCGGCGCCTCTCGCCGCCGTTTCCTCGAGGGGGTATCGTGGGGCCCATCTGGGTCGTCTTGGGGCTGTCTTGGGTTCATGTTGGGTCGTCTCGGGGGCCCTTTGAGGACCCTCTTGGGTTGTCTTGGGGCCCTGTTGGGCTGCTTGAGGCCGTCTCGGGCCGTCTGGGGCCCCTCCCGGCTTATCCGGGGAGCCTTTTGGGTCTGCATTGGGGGACTCTTGGGGCCCTCTTGGTTCATCTTTGGGCCCTCTTTCAACGGGCGAAGAACGGTATAAAATAAACTTTTTCGCTGTCGGGGGCGCCTGTCACAGGGCGGCTGGAAAGTTTATATCCTCACGGTGCCACGTAGGGGTATAGAGTTTCCAGTCGCCCAGGGGCAGGCGTCCGCGACGGCGGAACAGTTTATCTTCTACGGTTCTTCGCTCGCTCTCTTGGCTGTCATGGGCGGCCCTCCTTGGGCCGTCTTCGGCTCCTCTTGGAGCTGTCGTGGGCCGTCTGGGAGGCTTCCCGGGGCCCTCATAGGGCTCTCTACAGGTATCTCCATCGTTCGTTCGAGACCCTGGCCAGGAAAGGCAAGCCGTTCGTAAACCAGAGTTTTCCCCCAGACAGTGCTTGCACACAGGGGTTGGCACTCGTCTCCCGAAGGAGTTGGACGGGTCCGCCCTCGTGGGCGCCCCGTGCGCTGCGTGGGTCCGCTGAGGTTTCGCCACGTTGCCGCCTGTGGGCGCCTCGTGGGCGCCCCGTGCGCTGGGTGGGTCCGCCGCGATTTCGCCATTTTGCCGTCCGTGGGCGCCTCGCGGGCGCAGCGTGCGCACACTGCAAAGCTCACGCCACATGGATTGCACCACATAGCGTGCACCTCGTAGCTCAGACCACATAGATTGCTCCACGTTGCTTGCACCGCACACATCATATACCATAACTTACGTCACATGTGTTGCACCACGTAGCTTAAACCACATGGTTCGCACCACATGTATTGCACTGCATATAGATTTGGCTGCGCACACACACACATATGTATTTCTGATCCCGGGTCGAAGGTTCACAGGCTCCTTCCCCGCCCACCTTCGCTCCAGATGGGATGAGTACCAGGGTTCGACAGCCCCCCGCCCAGATGGGATGGGGGGGGGGAAGACGCCGCCGCCGACGACGACGACGACGTCGGCGGCTGCTGCGGCCGCGACGGCGACGGCGACGGCGACGACGACGATGACGACGACGACAACGAGGACAACGACGTTGGCGACGACGACGACAACGACAATGACCACGACGACGACGGCGACGACGACGACGACGACGACGACGACGACGACGGTGGCGACGACGACGACGACGACGATGCCGACGCCGACGCCGACGCCGATGCCTACGCCGACGACGCTGCCGCCGACGACCACGACGACGACGACGACAATGACGAGGACGACTAGGACAACGACGACGACGACGGCGGCGACGACGACGACAGTGGCGACGACGACAACGACAACGACCACGACGACGACGGTGGCGACGACGACGACGACGGTGGCGACGACGACGACGACGACGACGACGATGGCGACGACGACGACGCGGCCGACGACGACGACGACGAGGCGACGACGACGTCCACGTCAACGACGCCGACGCCGACGCCGACGCCGACGCCAAAGCCGACGTCGACGCCGACCACATATATCGCTTCCCCACGCATTGCGCAACATAGCTGTCACCTCACAGCTCACACTACGTGGACCACACTTCATAGATCACACTACATGGCTGAGACATCCACCGTGGAACATGTTACTGTTTTTGTTTCACGCACACAAGCATTTATTTGAAGGCGTTTGGGTGATTTGACTTTCCTTGAGGGCTTCTTGGCCCTCACGGGGTTGGCTTGAATCCCTCATGGGGCCCCTTTGGCGTTTCTTGGGGTCTTCTTGGGGGCTGTTGGGTGCCTCTTGAGGCAGTGTTGAGCCATCTTGAGGGTCGAGCCATCTATGGAGAGCCCCAGGAGGGCGTCGGGCTACTGAGGGAGCCTCGGGAGGGGGAGCGTTGCATGCAGGGAAGCGTCGGGAGACGGGGGGACTCATAGAAGTCTTACAGAGACCGTGTCCGACAGCGCTCGGCATTTTACCACGCCGCCACTTTGCAGGGGGCACGGTGTCGGATGACTTCCTATACCTCCCGATCGATTTCGAGTCCGGGTACCACGTCGGCTACGCATTTGTGAATCTGACACTGTCGGAGCACGCCGTTCGATTCATGGAGATCTTCAACGGTTTCAATGACTGGACGCCAAGACGTGACAACAGGATTTGTGAAGTCTCCTGGGGCTCGATACAGGGGTTTCATGCGAACGTCGAGCGCTTCGAGACAAAACAGCTGGTCATGGAAGGTCTGCCCGAGAGGTGCAAGCCCGTCGTCTTCATCGATGGCGTGCAGCACTCGTTCCACACCTTCGTCGAGTGCAAGCAGCAGTTGAAGGAGTGGATGGATCGCAAGCTGGGCCCAAGCTCGTTTTATGGGTAAGAGCCCGCGTCCGGCAGGCTTCCGGTCCGCGCCCCCTTCGCAAGGCGCCGCGCCGTCTGTGCCGACGCGCGGCCGTCCGTCTCGGGGAGGGCGCTGCGGCCACCTGGGCAATCGCCGCCCCGTGCGCAGGACCTGCCGTGGGTTTTGCCGTGGTGTCGGCGTCGTCCACTTGGGCTTAAGTCTGGCCTGTCCCTTTACAGGAGGAGTGTTCAAAAATAGTCAAACATTAGTCCGGGGACGATTTTTTGACTCCGTTTGACAATTTTGAGCATTTTTGGGGGTATTCTTTTTTTTGTTGTCCAAAATTACCCCAGTGCGACCCTACCTAGAAGTTGGAGACCCTAGGAAAGCAGCATTAGTTGCTATGCTACGCTATGCTATGCCATACCATGCTATGCTACGCTGTGCTATACTATGCTATGCTGCGCTATGCTATGCTATGCTATGCTATACTATGCTATGCTATGCTAAGCTATGTTATGTCATGCTGCGCTGTGCTATGCTAAGCTATGGTATGTTATGCTATGCTATGCAAAACTGCGCTCTGCTATGCTATGCTCTGCTATGCTATGCAATGCTGCGCTGTGCTATGCTGTGCTGTGCTGTGCTGTGCTATGCTATGCTATGCTGGTCTATGCTCTGCTATGCTGGGCTATGCTATGTTATGCTGTGCTGCGCTATGCTATGCTACGCTATGCTATGCTATGCTGTGCTCTGCTATGCTAAAGCTCAGCGAAGCTAAGATGAAGGTAAGCTAAGCTAAGATAAACCTGAGCTAAGATGAAGCTAAGCTAAGCTAAGATGAAATAAGCTAAGCTAAGATGAGATAAGCAACGCTAAGCTAAGGGGACGTAGCTGGGGGAACCGCGGGGCGGATACCGGGGGAACCGCCCGGGGCGAGCCCCACTGCCCGGCCCCTTTAAACCCAGAGAGTAAGAGCCCTTCTAGGCAGAGCCTAGGTAGGGAATTCCCCTGTAGGGGGACATGCCCGACTTAACTGTGGGCGCGTCGCCAAACAAACGGCGCAGCGACGTAGACGGTAGCGGCTAGCGCCTGTGGCACCAATTCTTGGTTGGCCGATGCAAGGCAGCAGCCATCCCTGCGCCAGCATCAGGAGGAGGGAGGAGGGTCTCGGCCTTCCTCACACAGGTGTTGGGTCATCACGACGGCCTGGCATCTTTATCAACTTGTTCAACGCATTGACTTGACACTTGGAAGTCTACAAGTTCCTCACGGCGTTTGTGGGAATTCTGGTTGAGCTTCATCATCTTCGGGTTTTTGGAGTAGACGCTCTGTTGGACTTCGCCAATCTCGGCCGAACTCGGGGTCCAGGAGGGGCCGAAACTTCGAGCGTTCCCTGCTTTTGCCCTTCATAGCGCCGCCGACGCGGGCAGTTTGTCCTGCGCGCATCTGAAGTCCGAAATACTCTCGCGACCATGAAGCTGCAATCTTCTGCTTCCCCCCCCCTTCCGATTGGCGTTCACTGGCCTCCGCTGCGGCTGGTGGGCCGAGATGACCAAAGGCACGCTGCGGCGAGCCCTTCGGGCTGTCCATCAGAAAGTTTACTTCGACCCTCGCCCTGGATACTTGGCCATACCCTGCCATTCCGAGCAACCGCTCACCGTTTGTACTCTCCATCCAGCGGCCAGCTTGGTAAGTGTTGGCAGCGGTGGAGCTCCAGAGCGGGGCCACCTCTCTCGTCTCCGTCAGGGAGGGTTCGGTTCTCCCGCTTCTCGTCGCCTCCTCCGCTGTCTCTTTTTCTTATTCTCCTGCTGCTGATCGCGTCGTACCAGGTTCGAGAAATGTTTTGGGGTATTCCGCATCGTACGTGTGCGTGTCACGTGATGAGCGTAGGCCAATCATGCTTCGCGAGGCCGGGTCCTGTCTTATCTCGTGTGGGGCCAAAGTTGTCGACCATTGGTGCAACGATTTTTGCACCTCGGAGGCTCACGCGGGAGACACCAAAAGCCTTCAGGAGTGCCTGGGGATTCTGGCACACGACAGGGTTGGGCTTTCCAGAGCCCTGCGATTCCTCTACGCTCGCAGATGCATGTGCCATGGGGCACTCCACTGCGTGCTCAAGGCATAATGGTGGATCTCATACAGGACTGGTGCATGCTGCCATATGGCCCATCCTGCACTGTCGTGTATGTTCGAGCGTGTCATCTGGGAGCTCGTGGGAGAGGAAGTATGAGGATTAGCATGATATTGATGCTGATGCTGCTGCTGGTGATGCTGCTGCTGATGACATTGATGATGATGATGATGGTGGTGGTGGTGGTGATGATGATGCTTCTGGCACTGTTGTTGCTGAGGATGCTGCTGCTGCTGATGATGATGAGGATGCTGCGAAGGAGGATGATAATGGGGGGGAGATGAGAAGGTGCATGTGACAGCCTGGGTAAGGAGGATGAGGAGGAGGATGCGGATTTCGAGGATGATGCTGACACTGATGCTGATAAGAATGACGATGCTGATGATGCTGAGGATGCTGCTGCTGATGCTGCTGCTGATGGTGATGATGCTGCTGCTGATGATGATGACGATGCTGTTGCTGATGATGATTCTGTTGATGCTGTTGATGCTGATGCTGCTGATGTTGGTGATGCTGGTGATGATGATGGAGCTGCAGGTGATGAGGCTAATGCTGACGATGCTGATGATGCTGCTGATGGTGATGCTGCTGCTGATGCTGGTGCGGTTGTTGATGCTGATGATGCTGCTGATGATGATGCTGGTGATGGGGATGTACGGTGTTGATGCTGCGGATGGTGATGATGCTGCTGCTGCCGCCCATGTTGATGTTGATTGAACTGATGATGCTGATGCTGGCGATGATGATGCCTCTACTGCGGCTGATGCTGATGCTGCTGCCGCAATTTCTGACGCCGATGATGCTGAGGATGATAATGCTGCAGCTGATGATGATGCTTCTGGTGGTGATGATGGTGATCGTGAGCATGCTGATCATGCTGATTCAATCAATGCTGTTGTGGATGATGATGGTGATGACGCTGATGATTCCGACGAGCATGATGATGCTGATGCCCATGCTGATTATGCTGTTGCTGGCGACGGTGATGATGCTGATGATGCCGACGATGATGGCACTGATTACGATGCTGCTGATGATGACGACGCCGGCAATGATGATGATGCTACCGACGACGATGATGTTGCTGATGATGGTGATCATGATGGCGACGATGATGACGATGATGATGCTGATGATGATGATGATGATGGTGATGCCGATGTTGATGACGATTCTGATGACGATGATGCTCATGGTGTCGATGATGATGGTGATGAGGCTGCTGTTGCTGATGCTGACATTGCTGCTGCTGATGATGATGATGCTTATGATGTCGCTGATGCTGTTGCTGATGATGATGACGATACTGATGCTGCTGATGATGATGATGCTGCTGATGCTGCTGCTGCTGATGATGATCATGATGCTGATGATGCTGATGATTATGATGCTGCTGCTGACGATGTTGATGATGCTGATGTGAAACAGGATGAGGAGGCGGCGTAGGAGGGAGTCGATGATGATGATGAGGAGGAGGATGAGAAGGATGAGGCGGTTGATGAGGCTGATGTCGGTGCTGCTGCTGACGATGTTGATGATGCTGTTGCTGCTGATGCTACCGATGAGAATGCTGCTGATGATGCTGATGCTGATGAGCGTGAACATGGTGCTGATGCTGATGATACTGATGATGCTGCTGCTGATGATGCTGATGATGCTGATGATGCTGATTATGATGATGATGATGCTGGTACTGATGCTGCTGATGCTGATGATGATGCTGGTAAGGATGCGGATCATGATGATGCTGATGTTGACGATGTTGATGCTGCTGCTGCTGATTATGCTGATGATGCTGATGATGCTGCTGCGGCTGATCACGATGATGCCGATGATTTTGTTGATGATGCTGATGACGATGGTGATGATGATGATGATGATGATGCTGCTGATGCTGATGCTGACGATGCTGATGATGCTGATGCTGCTGATGATACTGATGCTGAAGATGCTGCTGCTGATGATGCGGATGCTGATGATGATGATGCTGTTGTTGATGATGAGGTTGATGATGCTGATGCTGATGATGACGATTCTGATGATGTAATTGCTGATGATGCTGATCATGAGGATGATGATGCTGATGATGCCGGTGACGATGCTGAAGACGAGTTTGATGATGACGATGGTGATGCTGATGATGATGATGATGACGACGACGATGAGGATGATGCTGCTGATGATGATGATGATGACGTTGCTGATGTTGAGTATGAGGATGACGATGGTGACGCTGATGACTATGATTCTGATGGTGATGATGCTGTTGATGCTGATGATGCTCATGATGATGCTGATGATGGTGATGCTGATTATGATGCTGGTGACGGTGAGGATAAGGATTAGAGGGGTGATGATCATGACGAGGATGAGGAGGAGACCGAGGACGATGAGTATCAGGCAGGCGGATGGTGAGGACACTGATGATACTGATGATGATGACGATGATGATGATGATGCTGTTGCTGCTGATGCTGATGATGCTGATGATGCTGATGATGATGATGCTGATGATGATGATGATGCTGACGATGATGAGGATGATGATGATGATGATGATGATGATGGTGATGATGCTGGTGATGATGATGATGATGCTGATGCTGATGATGATGATGATGATGATGATGATGATTGATGATGATGATGATGATGATGATGATGATGATGATGATGATGATGATGATGATGATGGATGATGATGATGAGGAGGAGGAGGAGGAGGGAGGAGGAGGAGGAGGAGGAGGAAGAGGAGGAGGAGGAGGGAGGAGGAGAGGGGGAGGAGGAGGAGGAGGAGGAAGAGGAGGAAGAGGAGAGGAGGAGGAGGAGGAGGAGGGAGGAGGAGGAGGAGCTGGAGGAA